TTCAATATGTTTACTAAACTTTGTTCTTGTATGTTCTTATAACGAATTGAAACATTATATATTATAAATTTAGAGACACAGTAAGTCTCTATCTACTATATGGAAAACACTAAACAAAAAGTAATAATAATAACAGAAAGATATCTTACAGTTAAAGAAACATCGGGATTAACATTCAATGAATGCATCAAAAGATTATATTAGGATTATATATGTCCCTCAGCTCGGGCAAGAAATTGCTTTGCAATCGAGTATAAATGAATTTTGTAAATTTCAGACACTGAAAAAATTGTAATGTCTTATTCGAAAACGTTGTCAGCATTTAAAAGCAAATTGCATAAACTTCCTAAATCATGTTTCATATGTGCTTGTTTAAATATTGTTTGTTTTTTTGCAATCATTGTCACGTAGCCTACCCTAATTTTTATCATTTTTTTTTAATTAGATATGTCAATAAATTTCCTTGTTACTCCTATATATTCATCTTAAAACCTTACTGAATGTATCACCAGTCTTTGTTACTCCAGTAGGTAGTAGACAGGTGAACATAATTTGACAGTAGGAAAAACGAAGACCTACACGTTCAAATAGTTCAGGTAAGATCCGTTTATTTACTAGTTTGTTTTCATGCAGTTAATAATTAAAAACTGACTAAAAGGTAATAAAAGCAACGTTTTATTGCTATATCAATTTAAAAGAGTAGAACAAATTTAAATAAACATGTTGTAAATATAGTTTGAAGTAACAAACGATCACTGTATTTAAATACATAGTGTACGTATCAAACCAGCGGCTCTGGTCTGTAAATGGACGAGTTTATCTGGTCAACTGGGAGCTTTTGATAAGCATCTGCTGATATTAAATTAAAGGTGCCAAACACATCCATTTGAATATGATGACAAATAATATGGTTTGCCGATCAGTCCTTCGTACGGGCATTATAACAATAAATACGTTTTTATGCTCAATATTACGTTTTTCTTTCAGGAAAACTGACAGACCCATTCATATCAAAAAGACCCATTCATATCCAAAAAAAGCCTTTCGATGAAGATAATGAATGTCCATATCGTATATACGTTTTTGTTTGCAATATTTGCATTACGTGTTTCGAGTTTAGAAAATTCAGAAAAATACAATATAAATGGACAGACCCTGTACAACGTTGGCAAAAAATACAACATGACATTGCTTAGCATTATTGGTAAGGCTATGAAGAACATAGAATCCGATGTTCGGGAAGTAGCAGAAGAAATGTGCCGTTTGCATCGTTGTAGTGAATGGACAGAGTGGTCTGACTGTGATGTTAGAGCAGATAAACAAAGACTTGTCGGTGTTCAAACCAGATCACGGACATGCGGAGGAAACACTACCTTGTGCGAGCGATATGGCCTATCTAGAACAGTTTTGGATTATAAGGTATGTGAACGCAGATGTCCGAAGGTATATAAATTTACGACGAATGGCTTCTGCTTAAAATACTACACAAGTCCAAAATCCTGGGATAACGCTGAAGCCGTTTGTCGATCTGATGGTGGCCATCTGGTACATGTTGATTCAGAATTGAAAGCCAAGGACGTTAACGATACCTTTCTTGCACTTACGCCAAGTATTAATTCTGTATGGATAGATGGTCGACGATCTGTTCAAGCAGGACCATGGTCGTATGGGTACAAAGCAACAGATCCAAATTTTACTTACTGGGGTGGCAATGATCCTGATAATGGAGCAGCCGACCTCTGTATGCTCTACTATAAAAGTGAAAAAACAAAATTTACTTGGCGTTGGTTTGACTTTGCATGCCATCACTCATTAACTTTTATCTGCCAGATTCTGGAATATTAATCTTTTTTATATTTGAATTCATATCCAGTTAGTGAATAAACAAAAACAAACAATAAGGACAAAATTGGTTTAATGAATTATGCGACACTGGCTGGAACAAACGTGGAATATCTATAAAAAATATAAAGTAAAAACGATTAACAATAGCACAACCAGTTTACATATTTTAGCATCTTGTTGTAATTTAAAATAAATATTAAACTTCCTTATACACAAAAGTTGTCGTTTCATTTAAGCCTTTTTTAAACTTCATCTTTTATATAACCTCTAATATGATCTAATTATCAATATCTAAAAAAAAGTTTTATATTTATAAATATATATTTATCCACAGTATCAGCCGTGTTTATTGTAAAACAATATCATCATAATTATAATTGTTTTTCAGAGAGAAAAATCTATATATAAAACAGTTATATAAATATATGAATATAAATATAGTTATATACAGTTCTGCAGTCACTGTGAATCACCATAAATTTTTAGTAAGCATATACTACACGTTTATTATAACAAATTAATTTGGAAAAAAAATAAATTCCTCTTGGAATGTTTGTCTTGTTTTTCTTTCTCTGACAATAGCAACAACATTGATTGAACGTTATATATCGAAGTAAAAAGAAAGTGTTCAAAAGACCTTTCGGCCAGTGTGGAAAAATCAAATTGTTTAACAAAGTGTTGAATAAATGCAAGGGCAAAATATATCATGTTATTGACCAATTATGGAAGGATTATTATTAAGTCATTCTAGATCTGCATTTAAATTAAATGTATGAAAAAAAAATTTACCCACCATGTGAATTTAAAAATATTGTTTTTTAACTACAGTTTAATTGAAACATTCTGGAAACTTTCTAAAAACGAATGTAAAAGGAATTCGTTGTAAAATTTCGGACAAGAATAAACTTTGTAAATTACTGAAGATAAAATATAAATCACAAATAAATAATACAATGCATTGCTGAAATTAAATTTGACTAGTTATAATGAAAAATAGGATTAAGATAATTTTTAGGAAAATATGTTGATTAAGCTTACCGTTATTCAGTAGTAGTTGTTAAGTTGGCCAGAAATCAGCCGTTGAAGGTTGCTGTTACGTGATTAATCAAATACCAAAGCAATATTATAAAAAGGATTAAAGTTTCTTGTGTAATATTGGTCTATCTTTTCTTATATTTTTTGTAATTTAAAATGTTATATTTGAAACTTATGTGGATAAAAAACTTACTTTATTGGTGTCTGCTTCAGCTCTGTTTTTAGTTGGGACGTAGTCCCAACTAGTGCACTTACAAACCCGACATTTCCAACCATACAGGGTAACGCCCACTGCTGTGACGTTTCATCGCCACTCTATATGCTATATTATATTCTAACATATCAATCTAAGCTGAATTCATAGTGATCACCCGACCATGACCGACGCATAACCGCCGCGAGTGAAAAATAGTGCTCTGAATTTCTGAAAACTTCGATTTATTGCGAACAGAAGAGGAGACAAGAAATTTATTTTTTGAAAATAATGTGCAATTGAGCTTGAATTACGGTATTAGAAACGTAGCGGATATAATTTGAAAGGTCACATAATTCTATGGATGGGAGAGTAAATTAATTGGGTCATAGTGCTTGACGGCTTGCAATATTTAACTTACTCATCCGCCTTATCATCACATTTTTTTGTATTATATTCCAGAAATTTTTGAAAAAGACATTATTTATCGGATAAATTTTGTAATTTATAATTGCAAAGTGGATATTGAAATAGAATTAGCCAGAGATGTAGATAATCTATTCGTCTCTGAATTAGCCGATAATTAGGTTAAATGAATCCGACAACTTCCGGTATATTTTTTGACCTACTTCACGAGCATAATTATCAGCCTGTTAAGCTCATAAGGTAAGTTATAAAGCAAAATATGTTATGAATTTGATGAATAATAATACTAAGTTTATTTATTGATGCCAATTTGTTTCCGAGGACTAAAACTTTCGTAAATAATTTCGAAGTAATTTGGAGATCTCGAGTCTTTCGTACCCAAGACATTTCGATCATACTTAGACTGCAAATCGACAGATTTTACAAATTGATAGTACACAGATGTCTGCCTTTACAGGAAAACCGGCATATATGCCTACAATTTTTTGGTCTTGTCACGACCGTTACGTCTCTACCAAATGGGGCACATTCTTGAATATTTCAGAATAATTTCATTTTGACCTTTATAAATTATTATCTATTTAAAGTCTAGCCATTTCATTTTGGGTCATCTTTTTACAATTTGAATAGTTATTCTGGAAAAACGAAGTGCGCAAATGATCTAAAGGTTTGTACAAAGATTAGTGTTCTAAACATTCATCAAATGGTACATTTATCTGGAAAAAATATTTCAGTCCCATCATGACAATTAAAAATGAAATACCTCAATAGAACCCCCTTTAAATTGAATTACACTTTTTTTAAATGTATGGGTAAATTCCATTTTCAGTGGTTGAATTTTTTCCTCTTTTCTCATTAATCAAGCTATAGTTTCCCATTTATATAGCCACAGGTTGTTTTTGAAAGTTGAAAAAAAATCACTGCCACCTTGATAATTGTTAACCTGAAAAATCTTCAGGCACTTAAGGGATTTGAACCCCCAGACCTCTTGATTACAAGGCAGACACACAACCATGTCGCGAAAATGTCAACACAACAGGCAAGACTGTTGGAAATGATCTATTCCTGTTCTCAATACATGGTTGAAGTAATTTATCAGTGTAAATTAAACATTTTATATGATTTAACAATTTTTGACACTACTGATATTCACATTTTTTTTACAAATCTACATGTAAAAAATAAATATCATAATAAAATGATAGAACATTTCTATGTTAGTGGTAATACTATGGAGTAATATGAAGAAATATTATTAAATTTATTATCATAAATTTTCTCAATTTTTAATTATGTCATTACATGCTGTACACAATCATATTATTGTGTAAACATATATATACATTGTAATAGACACATATATACATTGTATATACACACACTAAGAGAGTAGTATTAGATGAATTTGAAAATGAAATCTCTAAATTGATATTTTTCAGGGAAAATAAAAGATCATTTACTTTAATATTCACTTGGAAAAGGCTGGTACATGTAGCTTAGTAAAAAAGTACAGTATAAGATTAAACAAAGACTAGAAGATTATTACAAACAACAGGTACTTATATACTATTTAATGTATATTTCACAAACCAAACTGTTTTCCAAAAAAATTAATGAAAACAATATTTGACCTAGAGTCATAAGATTGACAGAACATTGGCGTGTGGGGGCATCCGTGTCCTATGGACACATTTCTAGTTTCACTTATATACTACCGGTATGTAGAAATTTTGTGAATGCAACTCCTCTTAAACCGGATGGCAGATTTTGCTTAAACTTACAGGGATGAACAACCTTCAGGTGTAGATGGTAGTAAAGGAAAGAATTTTTGCTGCGACCAAATTTTACAGAATTATGGCCCTTTGTTGATTTTTTCACTATATACTATGTAGAAATTTTGTGAATGCAACTCCTCTTAAACCGGATGGCAGATTTTGTTTAAACTTCCAGGGATGAACAACCTTAATGTGTAGATGGTAGTAAAGAAAGAAATTTTAGCTGCAACCAAATTTAGCAGAATTATGGCCCTTTTTTGATTTTTTCATTATATACTATGTAGAAATTTTGTGAACGCAACTCCTCTTAAACCGGATGGCAGATTTTGCTTAAACTTCCAGGGATGAACAACCTTAATGTGTAGATGGTAGTAAAGGAAGGAATTTTTGCTGCGACCAAATTTTAGAGAATTATGGCCCTTTTTTGATTTTTAGTTTTCAACTTGTGGCACATGTAGTCCAAAAAATATTTGACCTAGAGTCATAAGATTGACAGAACAGTGGCTTGTGGGGGCATCCCCGTGTCCTATGGACACATTTCTAGTTTTCTTCTTAGTGTACCTTTATTAAGATCTATTTAATTGACAGACTGTTTTTAAAGTTTGAAGGGATAATCTTTGAAACATTCAGATTGGTTATTAAACTAACCATTATTTACTTTATTTGTAGCCAATAAGTAATTATACCTTTAAATTGTATGCCGTGGAAACAAAGTAATTGTATACTGTCTGAATTGTATACACACCAGTCTCTCACAACGCATTACTCACCCCAAATGAGGGTAAAAATAACTCTGACATAAAGAAGTCTGCGTAGGGATGACAATTTTATTAATAAAACACAATATATTGTTCATTGCTCATTGTTTTTCAGAGTTTAATATTGCAAGTGCAAATTTGATAGTTCCACTGTGTTACTATGTATTCAAATATTCAAAACTACTTTCACTTTCGGTTTTAATTTAAACTAACAATTGACGAAATACGAGTGTTGAACGAATACCAATAAAGGATTGTCAGAAGGAGTGTTTTGCGCATGTTTTGAGTAAAAATGATGTAAAGGCTATTACACCAACAGAGTATGGAAAAAGTTTAATTTTTCAAGTGGCCTGATTTCCGTTTTGTTCTATCACTTCGGTGTTAAAGCCGCCATGTAAAAGTAGTGTGCTCCATCATGCTTAGAGTGGTTTCACACAGGTCAGTAAAGACCGGTGTACACAATGTACTGTCTGCACATATGTGTCAGAAAAAATATCACAAAAAAGGAATTTAGTATTACTATGAGTATTTATTAAATAAATTGTATTTCAAATATATTTAAATAGTATTATTGAAAGTCATTTTGTATGACAGACACACAAATCTAGTGCTCTGCATTATGAATGTAAGAAGAGACAAATAAAATAAGCATTTTTTTGCAAATTATTGCACTTCATATAATTTTTATTGCTTTTTTTTAAGGTGGACATATGTCACTGTCAAGCGAATGAAGATAAGCATCACACTCGGTGGGAATCTCCAGTTTCCAGATGTAGTGATCATAACTGTATAGGCACCATTAACACTTTGGACTAGTTGGAGTATTTTAGAGGGCTAGTCTGAATTGAATCCCCTGTCAATAGTAAAGGCCAGTCATGAACATTGTGTTGAAGGAAAATGTTAAAACTCGGATTTCCCGCTTAACCAATCATTACTTTACCTTATATTCAGTGCGGTAATGTAGGAAATGGTTACTTTCTGGAACGGAGCTGTCAATTATTTTTAAATTTTTAGCTTGTTAGTGTTATCGTCGGACAGTTGTGAAGTAAAGACATCGCAGTTTGACTGTATACAAGTTGCGTTAAAGAAAGTATGTCGAAATCTTAACAGTTATTTGTTGATTTTGTAGAAATTGACCAGAATTCACCTTTGTTTACACGCATCGCTTGGACGTCGAAAACGACATGCAATGACATTTCAGTGAAATTTGGAAACTTGCTCGTATTTTGGAGCATTTTGTAGGATTTCGATGAAGTAAAAAAGTGTTTATGATAGGATACATTATTCCTAGAGACAACCACAAAAATAAAATAGTGATCTGGTGTATTTTTACCGAACAGTTCTTGTTTGTTTTGCATGATATTTTTCTCTCGTTAGGGACCTTTATTCTTTATATATAGTATTATGAGCGTATATGGGTAAATGTGGTATATAGTGCCTGTGGTTTTATCATGTATCTTAGCTTGCCTGGTGTAATGATAAGTAATAAACCTGAGAATTGAAACTATGAGAATAAATTGTTGTTATAAGTCCCATTATATTTTCATTAAGACGGGACTAAAGGCTGACCCATTTCTGTATGTCAATTAATGAAAGCTGAATTTTGCTACAACTTAAATGGTACAAAAGTAAGGTTCATCATACTGGTTTCTGATATAGAACTATACAGAGATTTAGCATGTTATTATAATTTATGCTCCTGAAAGGGAGAGAAAATAGTTGCGGTCTTAACCATCTGTCGGTATGGACTCAAGTAATATTATGGATAAATATCTGTGTTCATTCCATACAGACTTGTACTTTTGGGGAAAAAGGTTGCTCATGGGAGGAAAATATGTTTTTAATGGTGTTTTTGAGATTTTAGTTGATAAAGGAAAAAAAACATAGTCTGAACTTAGGAAGACATTTGTCCTTCACACTCTTGTCCGAAATATGAATATAACTAGATATGTATTGAAGGGATTTTATGTAAACTTCACAAAGTGATAGAGACTTTTAAGAGGAAGTGCAATGTTCAAGAATCATAGCTCTACCTTGCTTCATGTTTTAATTATATCCCTTAAGTTAAAAATACTTATTCCAAACTATCACTGAATCTACATCAACTTGAACGACTCGAATTTTCCAATGTGTCAAAGAACCATAACTCCATTCCTTAGTTTTTAGCTCACCTGTCACAAAGTGACAGGTCGAGCTTTTGTGATCTCTTTTCGTATGGCTGTAAACTTTTACTTTAAATGACATCTCCTCATAAACCACTACGTTAATTTTATCCAAACTTCACAAGAATGTTCCTTTAGCTGTCACCTTTAAAAATTGTGCAAAGAATTTAATTCCATGCTGAACTCTGGTTGCCATGGGAACCGAAAGAAAAAACTTTAAATATCATCTTTAAAAAAAACCTAAGAGCTAGAGCTTAGATATTTGGCTTGAAACATCCTTTAGTGAGTGTCTACCAAGTTTGTTTAAATAAAAGCCCTGGGGTCAAAATTGGCCCCGCCCCAGGGGTCATTGATTTTCCCTATGTGCATATAATAAACTTTATAAAATCTTCTTTTAAAGAACCCAAAGAGCTAGAGCTAAGATATTAAGCATGAAACATCATCTAATGAGTGTTTACCAAGTTTGTTCAAATAAAAGGCCCGGGGTCAAAATTGGTCCTGCCCCAGGGGGTCATTAATTTTCTTTAAATGCATATAGTAAAAACTTTAAAAAATCTTCTTTTAAGGAACTAAAAGAGCTAGAGCTAAGATATTTTAGCATGAAATATCTTCTAGTGAGTGTTTACAAAGATTGTTAAAATAAAAGCCCTGGGGTCAAAATTGGTCCTGCCCCAGGGGGTCATTAATTTTCTTTAAATGCAAATAGTAAAAACTTAAAAAATCTTCTTTTAAAGAACCCAAAGAGCTAGAGCTAAGATATTTAGCATGAACATCTTCTAATGAGTGTCTACCATGTTTGTTCAAATAAAAGCCCTTGGGTCAAAATTGGCCCTGCCCAAGGGGATCATTGATTTTCCCTATATGCATATAGTTAGAACTTCAAAAATCTTTTTTAAAGAACCCAAATAGCTAGAGTTTATATTATAAATTGAAACATCTTCTAGTGAGTGTCTACAAAGTTTGTTCAAATAAAAGCCCTGGGGTCAAAACTGGCCCTGCTCCAGGGTTGTCATTGTTTTTAACAGTATGTGTTAGTAAAAACTTAAAAAATCTTCTTAAAAAAAACCCAATAAGCTAGAGCTTTGATGTTTAGCATGCATCATTCTTATGGATGTCTTCCAAGTTTGTTCAAATAAAAGCCCTTGGGTTAAAACTGGCCCTGCAGGGTGGGGGGGTATATATAGGTAAGCAACCTCAGAGCCATCATGGCCCTCTTATTTAATTATCTACCTTTATTATACATGTACTTAATTATGCTTGTCCAGAGAAGTACTGGAAAAGAGTTGATGAAATTTGATTAAACTTTTACACAGCGAAAATAATCAAGTGAAAGAAAGTGTTTTTTCAAATAACCCTAATTTTTGTGTCGCCTTGTAAAGGTGACATATAGGGGTTACTTTTGTCGGCGGCGTCTGTGTCGTTGTCGGCGTCCCGGAGCATAACTCAGTCACTATAAGTCTGATTGACTTCAAACTTGGTATGCATGCTTCTTTTAATAACCCGAAGTGCAGTGCACAAGGACCGGTACTCTGCAGTTCTTATTTTTTGAGTTATTGCCCTTTGTTGATTTTCATACTTTAATTTTGTCCGGGCCATTTCTCTTCAACTAAAAAAGCTATGGACTTGATACTTCATAGGATGATAGCTCTCATTAAGAAGAAGCGCAGTGCACAAGAACAGTTACTCTGCATTTGTTATTTTTTGAGTTATTGCCCTTTGTTTATTTTCATACTTTAATTTTGTCCGGGCCAATTCTCCTTAAGTATAAAAGCTATGGACTTGAAACTTCATAGGATGATAGCTCTCATTAAGAAGAAGTGCAGTGCACAAGAACTGGTACTCTGCATTTCTTTTTTTTTTTTTTGAGTTATTGCCCTTTGTTGATTTTCTTTCTTTATTTTTGTCCTGGTCATTTCTCCTCAAGTATGAAAGCTATGGACTTGAATCATCATAGAATGATAGATCTTATTGATAAGAAGTGCAGTGTTCAGAAACTGCTGCTCTGCACTTATTATTTTTTTAGTTATTGCCCTTTGTTATTTTTCATATTTCATTTTTGTCCTGGCCATTTCTCCTAAACTACATTGTTCACAAGGCGACACATCCGACTTGCGGAGTTCTAGTTTTTAGCTTAATTTTACAATTATCATCTCTTAAAATACATGTACAACAACTTTTAAAATAATGGTTGTCTGGAGTAAATCTTTTCAATGATATCACACTCAAACTAAATACAGTTGTAGAGACTAGTGAGCAGAAGTCTTGTGTCAAATAACCAAAATTCTACATTACTTAGTTTTTGAATTATCTCCGTATATATTTCATGATACTGTTCAGAGAGAGGATTAAAATATTGAAGGAATTTGATTGAAACTTTATAAACGTTATACAGTGAAAGAGATTAGCATGAGAATTGCAGTAAACAAAGGCCATTATAAGTTCTAATGACATGGTCACATTCATATAATGTGATGCAAAAAATATTGACCATATGAGTGTTTACTTGATACTGATACAGAAAATTTGATATATATCACAATTGATTATTTTTTCATAGCTTTGTCTCCCTTTATAATGTCATGTGTTAAAATAGTCGAGCTTGCAGTTTCCTCTGGTAGCTCTAATTTCACTTGTTGCTCTTGTCAAAAAAGGCCAATAACGGTTTATGATGGACCTACACGTACATGTAACCTAAATATTATATATAACATGTGTGTCATAGAATAATTGTATCATCTACTGTTCATTTACTGAATTGTGCACTTTATATTTATCAACCGGCAACACCCTTCACTCATTGAATTATCTGCCCCGAAATAGAAAAAATAGTTTTTTGATCCTTCATACGTCCCAACTGCAGTGCCTTCAGCACTTTGATTTAATATTTAATACAGAAATATAACTGTTATATTGGTCTACTTAATATGTGTTTTATAATTTAATAAGACTTATATCCGGTAGAGAATTTTAAAAAGATTTTAAGCATATTAAAATGTCTTTCACAGAACTGATAAGTCCGTCATTTTTTTACACATAATGATAAAAGTTAGTTTTTCTGTTTGCAGAAATGCCAAAGGAAGTAACCAAAAAATAATTGTCATGTAACAGCATGTACATGCGTGTACATTTCACTATTTTGCAATGTATAAATTAGAAAATTAAATTAATTTGGAAAAAAGACATGGAAAAACAACTGCGTTCATTGAGTGTAGCCCTTTCTTATAAAACTTTATTGTAATGATTCAAAGCCTTGAAACAAGAGAAACATTGATGCAAAGCATCAAAGGCGACGCCAAAATTTATTTGATCTTGAATTGCACATTAAATACTTAACAGAAGGTGTGTTATTTATATCAATACTATTGCATGTGACCTGAAGGCTAGGACCCTGTTTAAGTTAACACTTGAACTCAAAAGAATAGACTCTGTCTTTCCAAGATGAAAAGACAATTTATAGCCAATTAACCAATCACAAATAAGACTCATGCCATAAGACAGAATTTCTTTAGATTTATTTTACCAAATACAAGGATACCTGAGACATCAGTATGTCATAAAAGCGAATTGCTTAGGATTGCATACATGTCATTGACATATATTACACATAATTAGGACCAAAAATAGGTACCTGGAGCAAAAGTAGAATTAGTACCAGCCACATCCACCAGCTGCTGTCTATCAGAGATGAACCATATAAGCATGTCCTCACCTATTGCAAATACTTGAAGTTTCATGTGCAGTAAAGTGTGATCAACTGTATTAAATGTCTTTTGTAGATCTAAAAGAATCATGCATAAAATACTGTCTTTGTCCATCTCAAATTTTAAACAATCTGTTAAATGAGTCAAACATGAGTCAGTTGAAAAAGCACTTCTAAACTCTGACTGAAACTGCCTGACCATGCTTCAAACACATGACTCTCAGAAGACCAACTGAGCTATCCGGCCTAAATGAAAAGTTCTAAGCCATAACATATTTCCCACTATATTGATATCTGTCCTCGAATTTTTGATGTTGTTTACAGAACATAGTGAATAAACCCTGGGTTATATGCAGTCACAGGATATTAAGAAAACCGCGCAGTCTGACCAGAGAACTATTATTTTTACTAAAAAAGGCTTAGACTGTTATTTATTGTGCCATTATTTATATCCGGTCAATTTAAAAGTGAACATAACTGAAATAATACAATATCTATTTTTTTTACAGATAAATGAATCAATAAGAAATGTTATGCAGGCCGATTAGTGCCACGTTACATTTGCAACATAGGGAACCGGGCAAAAACGTGCAAATATAACAAGCAAACAACTTTCATTTCATAATTTTCATATTTTCATTTGGATCTCGGTTATTTTATGGCATTGTACTTTGTTTTTATGTAGCACAAATCACCAATATAAAATTTAATGCACAATTTATTCAAGTGCAAGAAACAAGTTACTCTATGAAAAGTCTCTAGTCGGGTTGACTCTGCACGAGGCCTGGAGACTGAGACAGGTGTCCCTCCATTACATAAATGTAAGACAAGAGCTGCTTTTCAAACTATGCACATGTTAGAAAAAAAATTAAATAACCATTTAAATATAATTATTTTGAGACGTTATAAATTATATTGCTTGATCAAAAGGTTTAAGGGCATTTTCCTCCCTTAAAAGACCAGTACTGACCTACTAGCACAGAGAGTAAATTCAATGCTGATGTTATATGTTGATAATCAAACTTTCCAAGTTTTATCAAATGTATATCCCAAGAAGTAAATTTATACACAGCTGTACTGGTCGTAACCGGTTGGGAAATAAAAACATGTAATATACGATATTGTCTATAAAATAAATAAGCTGGTCATATGTTCATTTGGTATTCGTAACGCCTCAATATAAATAGTTGCACGATTTGCCCATGCATTGTCTAAGTAGATGTTTTATTTGAAATCAAATAAGTCAATACATATTTTAAAGAGATATGCGAAGGAAAAACACAACGTATAATTGTTCAATGCAGCTACTTTTTGAACGTGCGAGGGTTGTCGCAGAAGTAAAATGACTTTTATCATAACTACTTTATCTACAGTCACTGGGGTAATTGTTCTGCATGAATATGGTTTAATATGTATATCATCTATAAAAACCCTCAACATCGGAATTCGTTTTCCTTAAAAAAGAAGTGTTTCCAAGGTAACATGCGTTACGAGCGGCGCTCGCATTATTATATGACGCAAAGAGAAAATTTACCCGTTTAAACAAAACCATTCGTCTGCATAAAAGGTGATGTCACAATTTCATTTCTTGTTTGTAAGGACTCCATAGCATAACCAGTAGCTGAGCAACAGCGCTATTTATCAAGTCAAGCTACGGGCGGTAATTCAGATCGTCCATACGGTTGGATAAACACCAACAAAGGCTTATAACTTGGTTCCAGAGGCAGGCAAATATAAATAGTGGCGTTCATTAGTGTTAAGATTGGATAAATATTTTGGGAAGGTCGTCATTAACAAAGAGGCGGTCGCCTTTCCAGTTTGCGATTGTCACTCGTAAAGCAAATTAGAGAACAGAAAGCTATAAACCATGGGTTTACAGTTGGAAGCTTAGCCTCAATACTGTATGTCTAAGGATACAGTTTTTAGGATACAGAAAGTTCTTAACATGAGCGAGGTGAGCGCTAGATGGGTACCCCGACGTAATTTCTTTATATTGATTTATGTTTTATCTTACATTTAGAGTTTAATTAAATTGTGATATAACAAAATCGTAACAATAAGTTAAAAAAAACAGTTGCAGATCGCTAAATTGTGAATTTTCTCTTCTCTGCTGTTGCGTTGTGATCTTGTTCAAGTGCTAAGGAAAAGCGTGTTGCACCAAGGCAACGCTCCTCCACTTATAACGAGTTCAACCAGAAAAAGGTATGTTCGCACTGGCTGAGACTACGTAGAGAAGGTGCTGTAGGCGACATGTTTTATGACTAAAGTTATTACTTTTTAAATTTCTGTGTTTTAGACAGTGATGTGTTAATTTTGAATCTAGATCTTCTAATATTCCATGTATTTCTACGAACTTTTAATTATAATGAACAAATATAAAAAGATAAGCTTGAGCGGTACTTAATTCTCAACACTTTATAGTGCTGGCATCAATGACCCCGAGGGTAATTATTTCAAAACTAATTGAGCTAGTCATAAGTTACTTCTATTACATGGCTTTTAAAAATGCAAAAATGATATGAACCCGATTTATTGGACAAATTATACTTATAAATTCTTCAATGCTGAAACGCACTACAATATTGCTATTGTTAATCAATATTATAACATATCGTTCCATTGTATTAATTTTGCACTAACTGAACAGCTTTATAATTAAATGTATTTTACACTGTGCCTCGGTGGTTTCTTATTGTTTCAAATTGGTCCGTTCTCTTGTAAATCCCAGTGAAGATGCTCGATATGAAAAGGCATACACATTCTTCATGTAACAGAGGCTAAAGATAGAGCTCTCCAATTCTAAATAATAAACAAGTAAATAATAAGAGCAAATTACTTATTGTGATTATTCTATAAACGGCAAAGTAGTATTATTTAATGGAAAGCGGGCACTTTTAATCATAATGCGCATAATGCAAAATACTGCGTATGTGTAAAAATTGAAATTAAATGGGAAGCATTATGACACGGAAAGGCAATTCGGTCCCTACCAGTACTCTTTTTATATTGTTGCGGGATGGATACGTTTTGCTGTAAGGAATACTTACCAATAACTGTGCACCATGTGTTAAATTGATATATATGTAGAGTGCTGACACGCTTGTAATGGTTTATACTAATGCATTGGACGTTAATAAGTTGTATTTTGATAAAACGATATATAAATTTTAATAACCAAAGCTTTAGTTTTGAGCATGAACATGGTAGCCATTAAAGGAATAATACCAAATAGCCAAATAAAACCAATAATGAAAAGCACAGGTGTAACCTCGCTTTCATGTATTAAAGGTGGCTATTAAAGATCTGATAACTTATGATTGCACACCACCAATCGTTTCAAATGAAATAAATCTTTATAACGAACATGTTTATAAAGATAAACTAATGAATGTTGTCTCACAATGCAATGCAAGAGCTATTAAACTGATGGTTTTTGTCGCATGCAAATCAGTTTCCCTATAAATAGAGAGGACGTATATATACGCATGATTTAATTTGAGCCTGGTACCTGGATATTAAGCCTCGGTAAACTACACCAGACATTTGTAGAGTCCGATATATGTATACATGTATAAGACAACACTGCCTTTCCTTTGACGAAAATGTTAATGAAATTGCTTTGCAACAAAGCAAGAAATTTTCAATAGATCTAGAAGTGTAAAGCTCACGTGTGTGAAAGTTCTTATTAAGACCTGCTTGTATTTATAAACGAGTCGCAAATATATTGATGTTATTATCATTTAGTTATAGTATAAATAGATTTGGATATTTGGAAAACGGATGTGGAAGCTACGACTTTTAAAGAAATATACAAAATGCTTTTTCCGTAATATGGGTAATGGATCTCATCATACGAAGCATTTATAAATGCTTTTCAAGAAAATTATTAAGAGATTAAAAATAAACAAATCAAGCGATTCATGTAATGCTTAAAACCTACTTTCACTTTTACAGCTTGACTGTTTGATGACGTCATTGTTTCAGTTTGCGCACGTGCACATGTTCAGCGGGCTGATGACTAGTACTCAGCCTCGGGTCGCAAACTGATAATAGGTCAAGTGACATAATCATAGGTGATTTTGTTACTATATATAGTAACAAGTGTTTTAATAGCTTTGTTTATCTATCGTGCAATTATTATAAATATGGCACTTTAATCTGGTTGTAAAATTCCTATAATCATGTTTTGCCTTTGTAATTCTATAGTAATGAACAACATACAGACCATATTGTTCTAAAAAAGGAAGTAAACTACATATAAAACAGTTTGTTTAAGTGGTAATTTTTTCATAAATATTAACAGTATTTTGGCAGATATTAAAGCAAAGGTATTTCATATCGTGTTTTTAAATCAATCATTAAAATTGAATTTGTTATCATGGTATAAACATAGAATTACAAGATTTTTCAAGATTTTTGTATTGTTTAATATGATTTGTCAACGGCCTTGAAAACGTTGGTATTATGATTTTACAGAACTACATCATACATAAATCATTGCATTTATTTGAAGCAAACTTCCCAAAAGTTTTTTAGTAACATCTATTATCAAAATTTGAATTGTATAAAATAGAGACAAAAACGGTAATTTATTAAACATTCTTTTTTGTTGTTGTTTTTTTTTTCAACTTAATCTGCGTTGACTTTATTATGCTATGAAATTGTCAAAATTTGTTTGTAACAATAGTAATATCTTAACAAAGGCATTCAACATCAGTCAACTATACAGATATTATGACTTTGCTTTAGGAAATCACTTGGCATATGAACCACGAAGGTTTGCTGCAAGTGTGATCATTCATGCGCCAAGCTGAGCCTCCCTTGTATGCCATATGGAAATAAAGGAGGCAAAGGTCATTAGGACCATTTGTTGGCTCATTATCTCCCCAGGCTGTGAAATTTTGATTTTCTGTCTCGTACCCGAATTGCCACGGACCACCTTGCTTTGACCTTAGACCGTCTATCCACCACCATCCCCAGTTTTTCCCGTATTTTTCAGCGATGAACTCATTAACATCCTTCATTGTCCTTTCGGAATTTATCTGTACGAGATGTCCATTATCCTTTTGACACTCACTTTCGGCACCATTGCGACTTAAAGGTCTCTTATGCATCCTAAGACAGAGCCCGCTCTCACTTTTGGTGTATTCATTTGGGCAGTTTTTGTCGCAAATTTCAAAATCATACTCAGTTTTCAGTAAGTCTTCTCGACTACAAAGAACCGTTTTGAATCCACACTCTCTACTGCGTTTACGGCTCCCAAACCCTAAAAGCGCCACATCGCATTTTGACCATACACCCCAATCAGTGCAATTATGTAGTCGACAAAGCTCTTGGATCACTTCAGATCTAACCGTACTTTTAATTTTAGATTCTAGGTTCATTATTGTCTTCCCAATCATTTGTAGTTCGGAAGATCCGATTTTATTGCCCATTTCAACCAAGAACTGGCCATTAAATGTTTCATTTCCACCAGGATTGGTTGTTGACTCAATGTTAGGGATCTGCATGCATAGTAGCAAAACCCCTAGGGATATCGTTAAAAAGATTTGCATGATTTAGGCGTTGTAATCAATACGTCTCTTTTCCTCTGAAAAGAAAAACGAAGAAAAAATATTCTCGTCGTCAAAGGCATCCAGAACAAAAATATTGATAACTGATGTACAGAAGAATTCTAAAGGACCTCTAGACAAACGTTTAAGATATGACATCCTAATATATTACCTCCGCTTTGAAGAGTATTCAAATAGGCTAGAACTACTGTTAAATACATTGAAACTTAGGGTCTCGAGTTCAACACAAAAGGGTATTTCTTGTCTTTTTTATTCTTTTTAAAAAAAATTAGTTATCTCTCATATCCCTTTTGGGAAGAAAAAGATGGTTAATTTCAATTATTTAATTAATATAGGTATTTTTATGGCTAAACAATTATGAATCTAATAAAACATATGGTATGTGATATTTTCAAAGTGCAATAAAATCAAAACTAGACTGTTACCGTATTTAATATTTTTCAGATCAACCAATGTAATTTTGAAAAAAGTAGGGAAACCTTGAAAACAGCCTCTCATTTTTGTAATTTTAAGGGGATTTTTTAAATAAGACTCTCTATGTAGGAGATTGTCAAACACGTGTAAAAATGATTGGGGTAGGATAACATTTTTATACATATTTCATACATTTTGATTTGCTTATGTTGATTGTAAGTTTAATGTTAAATTATGTTTCTTACCAACATTTAATGGTAAAACATTTCTCATGAGGATGATATTGTAGATGATTTAAAGGTCCCTTATTTCTGAAATAAAAACGCCCTTCTTACATCCAAGATTAAATTCAGAACAGTGGCCATAACTTGTTTTCCGTACTGTAAAGTTTGTTTAAATGTTGCATACAGTTGTCCTGTAAGGTATTTACCTATGTTGTCAATTTTTTTCAGTTCCTTATAGTGCACGTTATGCCTATCCAAGTGTAAATTGTGACTGGAAAAAGTCAAGTTTACCTTACATTTTATGATATCTGTATTCAATTTTGACATCTAACTATAAAAGAATAATCCATAATTTGTGTGACATACGGAAATTGCTATAAATGTCGTTCAACTAGTGCCGGTAACGTCCAATTTGCAATCTTGTAATATTTTAACGTTTTATATTATTTTCTTTTATCAGTAATAATGAGCATTATCTCGATTTCATAGTAAATAAAGTAATGTAATATTTTTCTAACTTATTAACTTATCACAGCACAGGCACACTTAATAAAACTTAAACTATATTCATAATGACGGCTTTATTATCTGTAAGTATTGGAATGGTACTACGTTTTCACGTGGATCCGATAAGAAAATATATATAGTGTATTAGGAAGTAGTTCCATTTTTGCTGAAAAGTAAATTTTCGATAAATTCAAAATTGAAAAATAAACAAACAGATGTTCATTTGTAAAGAATCCTTAAGTTATTTCTTTGTAAAGAATTTTTTTAAAATTTCGAAATACTAAATCAATTTTAAGTTAAACATGCTTGAGATATAAACATAACTTTACGCTGTTTTTTCTATATAACATTCATACAGTAGATACCTAACATTTAAAATCTTGAGATACCATAACCATAACCATTGTTACTCGAAATAATAAGCTAAAGAGACCAGCTAATTGCAAGTGCGCAGTTTGAGTCACTAAATATATATGACGATACAAATATTATTTGCCAACTTTCTATTGTGAATTTGCCCGTAGATTATTTTACACATTTCATCCATAAATATAGGATGTTCGTTATTTTTCTCTAAATAAAGGATTTTTACTTTTTTGTTTTATTTATTTTTTTTCACGATAAAACACTTTCACGGATTTCCCCTTAAATTGTGTGAATTGGTTAAATTTAGAAGAAAGAAGTCCGGCAAGACACCAATGAAAATACGGAAAATGTGTTTCACTGCAAAGAATTTTTTCTTTTACAGTAAAAATACGGAAATGAAATTACGCATTTTATTTTATCAATATTGCTCAATATTTTATTTATAAGTATAAAATAAACGTGAATATCATTTTTTTATTTGAATTAAGGCTATGAAATGTCAAAATGTAAAGGATTGAGTTAGAAATTATGTTATATTCTCTACAAGATTTTTAAGTGTTTTGATGATGATAATTACAGACCAGTTTTTTTTAATCATAGAACATTGATATTTTACCAGTCCATTAATTAAAAAAAATGTATTATGATCTCTTTGCATTGTTTATTGATTAAGTATTAGAATAAATATATGTATGTTTATGCAGAACATTTCAAGCTTATTTTAAATGTTCTTACCTCTCAGTTGATATACCTCCGTTTAAAGCTAAAGCTAACACTATTTCTGTCTAAACGTTACCTGTTGCAGTCCTTTATATAGCACGTACATACTTGTCATATTCCTACTGAAGTACACGTAGGACACCAAATTGATGGCTGAAACATCCTGGTTTGAAATATGCATCTTTGCGTAAACATTAATAATTTTCTTATGTATATTTTTGCTAATTATCAGTAAACTGTCATCTTCTTTTTATGCTCCCCGAAAAATTTCGGGGGAGTAATTAGTCGCCGGGTTGTCCGTCTGTCCCTCCGTCAGTCCGTCTGTCCCTCCGTCAGTCCGTCCGTCCGTTAGTTCGTACGTACGTATGTACGTCGTTAATTAGTGTCCGGCCCTTAACTTTGTTCTTTGAAGTCTGATTTGCAACCTTTTCACAGAAATGATCACCATATAGAGATAACGTGTCGCACATAACATTTGGGTCACTACCTTGAAGGTCAAGGTCACAGGATGACATTGAATCAAAAGCGTGACCGACCAACTTTGTTATTTGTAGTCGAATTTTACACGTTTTTCAGAGAAATGATCACCATATAAAGACAACGTGTCGTGCGCGAATTTGGGTTGCTGCCTTGAAGGACAAGGTCAAAGGATGACCTTGAAGCAAATAGTGACCGGCCAATAACTTTCTTATTTGAAGTCGTATTTTACATTTTTTCACAATAATGATCACCATATTGTGGCGACGTGTTGCGTTTAACATTTGGGGCACTACCTTGAAGGTCAAGGTCACAGCATTACCTTGAAGCAAAATCGTGTCCAGCCCATAATTTGGTTATTTGATGTCGAATTTTACAACTATTTCACAGAAATGATCACCATATTGAGACGACGTGTCGTGCGTATCATTTAGGTCGCTACCTTGAAGGTCAAGGTCACAGCATGCTCTTGAAGCAAAATCGTGTCCTGCCCATAACTTGGTTATTTGAAGTCTAATTTTACAACTATTTTACAGAAATGATCAATATATTGAGACGATGTGTCGCGTGCAAGTTGGTAGATAGATTTTAATTGAGTAGCGGTGCAGTGCAAAGAACAGTATCTCTGCATTGCCTAAGTTTGGAATTATCACACTTTGAACTTTGTCTGGGACATAACTCTGAAACTACAAAAAATATACTTTTCTGTGTCCAAATCCTAGTCGGGGAGCGTCACCCGGTTCAACCGGCTCTTGTCTTTAAATGGTTATTGGGAGGGGAGGTAGGAAGGGTGTTCAATACGTATCAGGTTTGATCTGGATTTTTGTTACTATTGTTTTAATACATTTATCAAAAGAATTAGTTTGACTGTTTCCTTTTGCCTTTAGTTATAGATTGCTTTATTTAAAACGATGAAATAATCAATTAGACAGTTTAGTGACGGTATATTTTTTCCATACGTGTAATTATTTAACGTTTGTCATAAAGTTTAATCATGAATTAATTAAACTGATTTTATAATGTTATCATGCACTGAATTCATGTATATTTAATACTTTCAGATTAATTTATTAATTTAAATAATTATAAATTATATTGTCTTTGCATGGTGTTACTTATTTTGTTGTTGTTGTTGTTGTTGTTGTTGTTGTTGTTGTTTTATATAACATGAGGACATTTGCACCATATATTTTATGTCTTAGTTAGAGTTCTTAAACAAAGAATAACTGATGAAGGGGATTTTTTTAAATCCGTAAAAAACTTCCTTTTGCATTTTGTAACATAATCACTCCAAAAGTCGTAATGGTTATGCTGAACTGAAGTGTATCAAAGGATTATCATATGTATTCATGTTACTTATAGAATGCCAAACCAAAAGTAGACCATAATGAATTAAATGATTACGCTTTAGTTAAAGAAAATTGAGCAATATTGTAAAAAAGTAATATCATTAAACTTAAAAGTAATTATGATTTCATGACGATGTAAGCTTTTTGTTTATTAAACATCAATGCGAAAACATATATCTGTTGACAAGTTAAACAAATATTACTCTTTCTGTCATACGAATTATTTACCTTGTTTCAATATGTAACAATGCTTTTTAACAAGTCTAAAATAATGTTTGCCTCATCTTTTGTATTAATTGATAAAAGAACCGATTACAAAGCTTTAGAATTTGTAAAACACCCTGTCGGAATATTTTCGGGGTCATGTACTAAAGTCTGTTCATTATGACGAGAGTACGTTTTGCTTTAGAAATGTAAATAATAACCTTTAACTATAGTGGCTGATTTGTGCCGTACATGTTTTTGCTCCACGACCCAGCCAAGCAAGAATTAAAAAAATAACAAGTTAAAAAGGCGGGGGCGCGATGCGAAAATGCAAATTAGCGGCACCGCGGGGGCGAAATTCGAGAGTTAATTGTAAAACGGTGGGACTGCGAAGCGAAATATTTATTGTTATTTTACACTTATTAGCATGCTATTGTTCGCGCACCTGCCAAATTATTCTTATAAAGCTCGACTTTACCACGCTGCCCAAATTAGCGTCACTCTGTCCTAAAATCAAAGTAATATGCATTTGTTAATCCAATAATCCAGCGTAAAAAATCTTGACATGTTATCATTAAAACTCCGTATCGACGGAATCCTTATTATACACTGTTGGAAGCGATGCAACTGTATGACGTACCTCCACGTGCGATGTTATTAAGTTCCATTTTTAAAAAAAAGGATCGAATTTTTATCAGCAAGATCCACTTGACCGAATTGAAACATAATTGTAAAAAAATTGCATTTACCGATCGATTACATCAATTACATACTGATCAGGCTTAACGAACATGAAAAGCAAGTTTTAAAATGTCAAAGTATACATTAAAATTAAAAAGGAAATTAAAATTAAATGTTATGTTATTAAAGCTCGTGCAGAAGAATAGGAAACCATGACAGTACCCTAATGCGCCAAAATGTGTAAGATGCAGGCAATGTAAATGGACGAAAATAGTTGTTGGCCCCACTAGAAAAACTTGTTATATATGTATATCGATCTGGTGGAATCATTGTAAGGTAAATCGTCGATTTTGAGTACACGATACGGCAAAGAAATCTTCTGGACTTATATTTCTTTTTCGGAAATAATATTTACGCTTAAAACAAAATACATAAACTGGAACCAGGTCTTATTTTTCTTATACTTTCAATTTCACTGTCGCATTTAGAAATGATGCCGCTCTAGACCCTTCTTCAAACTATCTATGAAAGGATTGAATAAAACTAATGAATAAATGTGATGAATGAATTAATAAACGAGCGGACGTTATGACTAGCATTCAAATTGACGAATATGCGAACCAAAACATTAGTGAAAAGAATATAAACCGTTTGCAGTATTGAAATATTTTATAATGACAATATCATATAAAGTATTTAATTTTAATTTCAGAGTCTAAATTTGAAGATAATAACCAAATAAAAAAGAAAGAACAGATTGAATAGATTCGGTTGGCTTATACAATAAAAAGGTTATTAGGTAACAAATAAACATTTGCATGTTATGCCACGAACTGCCAATACATTTTATAATTAAAGATGCATCTTTTATTTCTGTTATTTTATTACAAAACTTCGTTGCTAACATAAACTTTTCAAAATTAAAAAAAGTTTAAATTATCCACCGAACCTATCTTGTGGATTGCAAAACATTTTATAATAATTATTTTTAACCCGTTTTCTGTTGTTTGTTTAAATGGAAAGGCTGCAAAATAAAATGATACTGTATATACATGTATAAAGATAAAGTAATAGCACTGAAAAGAATCATCGGTATTCATACACGACTGCCATTATGATTTTATATTCATCCCTCTTATAAGCACATTACAATAAACAGCTTCATCTCGAAAACTTGTTGTTGTTGTTGTTGTTGTTGTTGTTGTTTTCGTAGATATTTCATTGGTGTTTTTTTTTTAATTTCTTACCAACGCTTATCTTACTGAAGGCTGTCATTGCTCTGTAAGTTATCGCTTGTATACTTAATATGTCTGCATGTGGAAAAGTAAGAATTGGAGTGTTACAAATGTAATTAATACAACAAAGTTTTTGTTTACAGTCTATTATGTGAATTGGACTAATATTTATCTATTTTACTATATTTGTGATTTCAATAACACTGTTACAATGTTAATTTCAGCCTTGTTATGCTCTAAACATGCCTTATAATGTCGACACTGTAAGCGAAAATAAAAGTAAGGTAACCATTTTTATCGCTGCACTAGAACAAATCATTGGCAATTTTCAAGCTTGGTTGTGAAAGACCTCATGTATCATTTTCATTATTCAAGAACAAAAGGGCACCTTTGTAGAACCATCCACATCTCGTAAGCTAGCTGGAAAGCTTATTCACATGAACATGTTGAAAGTCCCTAACGGTATACGGTATCAAGGTGGCGAGAGTCAAGTGGTTTGAGTAAAACGTCTTTACACACCCGGCGTCCCATTTAAAATACATGTATATCAAGATTTTAAGCAAACATTAACCAAAGATTTAACATAAATGCTAGGTTATCAATTAAGAGTTATTGTAGTATTGGACTTTAAATATTTTTGTGATGTACGATGACAAATGAGCAAGTTATCTTGAAAAAATGTTTGTTCTTGTTGTTGATGTTGTTTTCAATGGTTCCCTTTACATTCCTGTACTTTAATATAATTTTAATTCATTTTTAATGGTTAAAGTTAAAAAGTGTAACTATAGTAAACAAAGAAAATTGACAATGTTTCTCATAAAACGTGTACCAATCTTTTGTGATATTTGATTGTTTTCTATTTCAAAGCTATCAAAAGTTTTTAACAAATGCTTTTGTAAACCAAACAAAAGACTGGGACAACACCGTGTTTAGACTTACAAATACTGTAACAAGCTTTAATACGGAAAAACATATCCGTAATGATAGAAAAAAATCAACTTTTTTTGGTTTTAAAAACGCACCGAAACAGTTTAGTACATATGCCCCGGGAACAGGAAAGATGATTTTGGCTTACCTCGGGTGTTACAAAATTTAAGGGACACCGGGGGTGAAAAACCTGTTGGAGATGCATAAACTCCAACAATTCGAATCCATTTATTAACCTCTTAAGATCAAGAAATTTAAAAAATTTAAAAATTTACTTTGTAATTAAAAATA